ATATTTCCATTTTTGTGCATTCATCTTGTAAATATATTCACACATAAAACTCTAATGAAAGGGTTTATATTTATAGTAATCTACTTTTTACCTATGATATTTACACGTTAGCTCTACAACTGAGCCACATCTCTAGCACCCATACTTTTTTGTCAACTAAAATGCAATGCGTGTGTAGCAAAACACTGAGCAGATAGGCTTTTTAAATTTGTACTGAAAAATTACATCCGTGTGATTCTAACAATGACCTTAAAAGAGAAAAAAGAGCAAGCAGATTCCTTATATGAAAATACATTCTGGTGGGCCGGGCGGTGGTGGCGCAGGCTTTTAATCCCAGTACTGGGGAGGCAGAGGCAGGTGGATCTTTGTGAGTTTGAGGCCGGCCTGGTCTACAGAGCGAGTTCCAGGACAGGCACCAAAACTACACGGAGAAAGCCTGTCTCCAAAAACCAAAACAAAACCATTCTGGTGTAAGTCACATCTACTTCACAAGCAATGGTTTTTTTCAACTCTTCCCTCAAAAATCTTAGGCAGCCTACACTGATGACAGCCCACCTCAACAAGCAGACTCTGACAAGACTTTGTTCTTTATTCAGGGGGAATGCACAGTATTGCCAATCTTCACATGTGCAATCACTGGTCCATCAAGAGGACAACAGAGAGGTGTCCATACCAGGCACCACTATGTTCCTCTCTATACTGACTGAAGGCTACTGAATGCACAGTAAGTTTTCCTGTGGCTACTCACTCAGAAAGCAAAGGCCCACTAGGGAAGGTCGGCGGAAGCTCTGGCTAGTCCTTTCGGTCTCAGGTTGAGGCTCTGACACACAGGAAGCTTCCGGGTAATGTGCAAAAAGCCTAGGCTCTTCAGCTCCCGCACTGACCCCAGGTCTGTCTGCAAGCGTCCAACTCCTGCAGTTACCCCAGGTCTGTCCTGCACGCGCTCAGCTCCCGCTCTGACCCCAGGTCTGTCCCGCACCCGCTCAGCTCCCGCTCTGACCCCAGGTCTGCCCCGCACGCGCCCAGTTCCCGCTCTGGCTCCAGGTCTGTTTGCAAAAGTCCAGCTCCAGCTCTGGCTCCAGGTCTGCCCCGCACGCGCTCAACTCCCGCTCTGACTCCAGGTCTGCCCCGCACGCGCTCAGCTCCCACACCGATCCTCCCCGCACAGCTGCCCCGCACTCTCCCGTCAAGGGCACCGGCGGCCGGGCGCTCCGTACCTGCGCGGCGTGTTCAGCAGCCGCTGCTGCTCGTCGCCCTCGTCCTCATCTTCGTCTGTCTCCGAGTCCGGGTGGCAGTAGCAGAATGTGCCGCTGCTGCGCTTGCGCTTGCGGCCGCCGGGACAGTAACAGAAGCCGTGGGCCGCATCCTCGCCCGGGTCTGACCTGCGGGCCGCGCCCCCAGAACCGGGCGTGGGCTCGGGCTGATCTGCGCGCCCCGCGGGCCGCAGCACCCGGCTGCTCAGCGCGCCCATGGCTCCGGCGCCTAGGGAGCGCCGAGGGGCCGCCCCGCCATGCCTGACGCCCCGCCGCCTACTCCGCCGCCGCCTCGCGCGCAGCCCCAACCGTCGCCGAGAACGCAGTCATCTCCATCCTCCGCCCCGCCCGCCGCGCTTCAGCCGGCCGGCTCCTCAAGACCTCGCCCCCTCGTTCTCGCAACAAAGCGCGCGCCGCAGGGCGCATGCGTGCGGCGAGCCCCCGGAAGGGGCGGAGGCAGCTGGCCTCGGGGGCGGAGCCTGGTCAGCATGGTTGCGCAAGCGCGGGAGTCGGGCACGCCTCCGCGGAGCTCAGCCCGGGTGGGGCGAACTTTCAGTGCTTCCGGCGTTAACCGAGCGGCGTGGGTGCTGTGTGCTTGTCATCGAGGGATCTGGGGACCCGTGTCGTTGATTCTTCCCGCGAGGTTCCTCGAGTCTGGGGTCTTCTCCAGCCCTGTGCAGTCAGTTTGTGCATGGACATGTCATTAAGGCCCTTGCCTCCCTCCCAGGCTCTGGGACTGTGCTGTCACGGCTGGACGGCTTTCACCCAGTGTTGTTGTTGACAGGCGTCAGTCTGGAGCCGCGGTCAGCCTCTAGTGCCTGGCTCCTTCCTTCTGCCTGGTTTTGATTTGATTATTTTATTGTGTCAGGGTCTTGTATTACATGCTGACCTTCGAATCTCTAGATAGAATGATCTTGAACTTCTGATGTCCTGTGTCCACCTCTTGAATGCTGGGATGACAGGCACATGTCATATCGCCCGCCTATTTAACTGCTGGGGATCTGACCCAAAGCTTCGTGAATGTTAAGCAACCACTACCAATTCAACTACATCCCAGGCCTCGATTTTTTTTTTTTTTTTTTTTTAAAGAAGCGTCTTACTCTGAAGCCCAGGCTGGCCTGGAACTCTTAGTACTCCTGCCTAAGCCGCTGAGTGCTGGGAGTTGAGGCGTGAGCTGCCATGCTGGCCTTCTATACTTTTCAAAGTAAAATGTTTATAATGAAACGTTTCAAATAGAGCAATACAAATACCTGGGGACTCACTACAGACTTGGAATTTTATCACACTTATTTTGATTCACTCTCCTTACCTCTTCAGCTTTATTGAATTATAACGGAGAATGATAAAAATATGAGAAAAACCCCTTGTGTACCCACCCTCTGCTTACATCCTCGCCCCCTCCATACCATTTCTGTGCATGTTTCTACACGAATACCCATAGACGCTCTTTTCTGCTGCACATTCAGACATATAATTTAAATGGAATCAGACCTTCCCAAACCTATGATTCAGAACCTTTCTCCTCTCTTAAAGCTATACTTTGGACTAATCTTTAGTTATTATCACCACTCATTGTAAGACCGGTGATTTACCTACTTCCTCACTGAGGGGCTTCAGTTATTCCTACCTTAGTGCTCCTTCAGAACAGATATGAACATTACACACAAAAGCTAAATCAAGCAGATCCCCGAAAATAGATTTCCTCGGAAATTTCCAACTTTATGAGCTCTTGCCAAATTTCCCCCAGAACTGACTGCGTCAATGCACCATTTGCCCTCATTTTTGGCAGGCCGCTGAGGGTTTGTTTTCGATTCATCCCTGAGAAATTCTGAGGGCACTCAGCTGAGGAAGGCTGAAGTACATATTGGAGCAAGAGAATAGCGGTTGCAAGGGAATACACTGCATGCACAAAATGCAAAACGTGTGCAGAGGGCCATCTTAAATATTGTGCAAGAGACGTTGGTGTAAGTAGACTACAACATGGTGACCTCAAGTGTCACTAAATTCTTAAAAGGTAAAACAACCATATTGGTCTTGCCTAAGGAACCTCAGGTAAATGGTTCCCTGGTGATGGTATTACTGAGGGGACCCACGGGAATGTCCGTAAGAACCTGTCACAGTTACACAGGACTTATTCTCCACCACAGAGCAATGGCAGTCAGAAAAGAACGTCCCTAACTCCCTCTGCTCTTCTCCATGCTGCTATGACCCAAGCAGGAAGGATGGAGAAAGAAGAGATGCCCACCTTCTCCCTCCCCCCAGCCAGATGCCTGCTGGCAAGAGGCCAGAACTGACCGAGGGAAGAAGTCTCAAATCACACCTGGAATTTTGACTCATTATGCTGGTGACTGAAATAACATTGTTTTGGGACCTTAAGGAGCTACACAGTAGGACTTCTAAAAAGTTAATCATAAACACAAAAATTGTGACTTTCTACCCTCCCTCTGAATTTACACCTGCACTCAGCCACAAATCACTGTCCCAACCTCTGAAATTTGTTTTTAAAATTCTAACTAGGGTGTCATTTAAAGGTAAAACATCTACTAAAACCAAAACAAAGAACCTCATAATGCTTCCAAAAACATAATGAAGCTGGAGTAGAGATTCCACAGCCCTGAAGTGGCAGCGTCGATTCCTGAATCTGTGTTAATTGGAATGACTGGTCACTTTGGCATGTTGTCGATGATGCCTACACCCAAGTGCAGTCCCACTGCAGCAGGAACAAAGGGATGTGTGTGTGTGTGTGTGTGTGTGTGTGTGTGTGTGTGTGTGTGTATGTTCTTTGTACACCTGTAACTTTTGTCCTTTGTGGTGTTAAGAAAAGCAAGTTATGATTCTATCCCACCAAGCTACATTTTTGGCTTTATATGTAACATTTACTATAAACGCTCCACTGAATAGAGCAGAATGTCACTCATTTTCAGAGAGCAAGCTACCATGTTATTTAATGTCATTGAGGAGTGTTTGGCACACACAAATGTTAATGATTTTGTTGTTTTTTGATTGTTACTTTGTTTTGGTGTGAAAGAGGGGTGTCATCCCTTGTTCTCTCCACCCTGTGGGTTCTGGGGATTGAACTCAGGTTGTCAGGTTTGGCAGCGAGGGCCTTTACCCACGAAGCCATCTCAATGTCATGTTATTTATTTGGGTGTGTGTGTGTACTTGAGAGTGTCTGAGTGTGCCAATGCAGAAACCAGAAGTTGCTATCAGTGTCTTACTCTCTCTGTCCTCCTCCTCCTCATCACATCCTCATCCTCATCCTCATCCTCGACAGGGTCTTCCACTGAACTGAATTGATTCAGCTATAAGGGCTGGCCACCGAACCCTGGGATCTGCTCGTCTCCACCTCCCATCTTTGGGGTTACAGGCATTCACTCACTGGCTATGCTCGGCTTCCCACTGGTGCCAGGGACCCAAACGCTGCTCCTCATGCTTGAGCAGCGAGCATCTTGCTCACTGAGCCATCATCTCCCCAGCTCTTGTTTTGCTTTTTTGAGACAGGGACTCGTGCTCAGGCTGGCCTCACACTGGCTATGTGGCCGGGAGAGTCTGAAGCTCTGATCCTCCTGCCTCCACCTCACTAAAGTAAACATTGGTCTTATAGAAGAAGGCTAACATATGATTAATGTGCCATATTTTTTATGTTGAAGCTTAGTATCACAATTCCTTCAGAATAGTTCCTTCCATGGTTCTGGGTGGAAAAAAAAAAAAAACTCTGACATGGAAAAACCAAACAAAGAATACACATCCCTTTAAAGTCACCATTTTTAATTAAAAATTTCTCGAATTGTATACAAACCAAACTCCATGATTACATGCAAAGCACCATTTCTGAATGACTATAAAATCAAAAAGGCACAGTGGGAATCAAATCAATAATCTAAAGGGACTATTTTTAGCAGAAAAAAAAATTTCCCTTAGGTTGACCACAACCCAGAGCATCACATACCAGAAGAACCTCAGACAAACCTTGCTCTTTCTCATCACTTTCAGGCAAGATTAGGATAGTCTTAGCATTCTGACTTCGGAATGCTCAGTGTGAGTGATAACCAGACACATGGGCTCTGTTTAACCACACTTGAAATTGAACTTGTTTAATGAGTTGGTAACTTTGCTGCACTTCTTGGGGAGAAAGTGGTCTCAGTGCTGGAGGAGATGAATCCTGCCACACCAAACACACTCTCAGCTAACATGATAGACAAAGCCAAAGAAAGGAGGCCCATGAGAACTTCAGTCCACAACTGTGTAAAATAGGAAACCGGATGGAAATTCTCAGTAACAGATGCCCTGGGTCCCACATGAAGAAATGACTGGCTGCTCAGGGAAGAGAAATGCTTCTGTCCTGTAAAATTCTTACTGAAAAAAAAAAAATCCAAAAGGATTTAGTGCATTCAATCTCTGCAAAAACACAAATGGGGAAATAATCAGCTAAAGACGTGGAGCACATTCTAATTTCTAATTCTAAATCTCCATTTAGGTCTTAAAAACTTTGAAAGTACAGGTTTAAGGCATCAAAACGACTAATTATAGATGATAATAACACAGTCTGGATCATAGGAGGCAACTGGAGGCGTTTTAATTGGAAATAAGCATTTGAGATAATGTTAATAGCAGTGCAGAAAAATGAAGTTAAAAAAAAAAATCAGTGTTAAGAATCCTTCTGTCCTGGGTCTTGTTTTAATCGTCTCCTCCACAGAGAATGAGGAGAACCTTCCTGTAGTCTCCGGAAGTGTCGCCCTGAGAGAAAGGAGATCACGATTACCCACAGTTAACAGATTCTTAGACAGTTACACAGTTCAAAATCACCTAAGTTCATTTTGCAAACATGGCTAGATTTTTCTCAGGTTCTCAAAAATTTTTTTTATTTCAAAAGTAATGCTTTGGGCTGGAGAGATGGCTTGGACACAAAGAGTACTCCTTGCTCTCACAGAGAACCTGAGTTTGATTTTTGGTGCTCCCAGTTGCCTATAACTACAGGTCTTGGCCAATCTGGCACCTTCTTCTAGTCTCCTTGGGCACTGCACACATGAGGCAATATATACATACACATTTACATATATATACATAGATATACAAGAATAATAATCTTTTTAAAATAAAAGTAATACTTGTTCTATATTTTAAAAATACTTAAAAAGAGGATAGAAAGACCCATAATCCCATGAGCTATGGATCGCTGTTGTTAACATTCTGACATGTTCCTGTTCCCTAGTCTTTCCTCTTTGCATGCAGATCCCTATGTGATGAGACTGTAGTACAGTAATCATCTATGCCCTCATTTTGCTCTGTTTGTTTTTGGTGGTGCCAGGGACCGAATCCATGACCATCCTCATGCTAGGCAAGTGTGGGCAAGTGCTCTACCAATGAACCATATACACCCAACCTCTGTATCCTTTTTCATTACAGTTTTATTTAATGATTACAGAACATTTCCCTCCCCATTGTCAGATGTTTATGTGGTCTTTGATGTTTCACTATAACAAACTTTGTTGAATAAAGCACCTTGCAGCTGAGTTTTCATGAATTTCCCTCACAATTTGCTTTGAATACATTTTCATAAAATGAAAATTACTAGATTAATATCGTGAATTTTTCTAATACTTTTCATATGAGTTGCAAAGCAGCCTTCCAGAAAAGGTCCTATAATTTCTATATGGAAATATTTATGGCCTAATAAATACATTATAGTTTTTCCTTATTATTTATTTATTTATTTATTTACATTTTTGGCACTGGGGACTGAACCCAGGGCCTTGTGTATACACTGAGTAACAATACCCTAAGCCCAATAAATCAGTTTGGGTTACTTCTTAATGGGCACTAAAAGAGATGGAACTTTAAGAGTTCAAATTTTAATATCTGTCAAAATGAATAGTAATATATTATAATTTGTCTCATTGATCCATGAAATAATAAGTATGTATTAAAGTTGCTTACTGGCACAGCATTGTTGCCATTGTCTTCTTATGGAGCTGTCCCAGTTAGGTTTCTGTTGCTACGATAAAGCAACTTGGGGATGAAAGGGTCTACTTGACTTATCTACCCCAGGTCACAGTCCAATAAGGGAAGCCAAGGCAGAACTCAAGGCAGGAACCTGGAGCCAGGAACTGAACTAGAGGCCATGGAGGAGTGTTGCTTACTGACTTGCTCCCCATGGCTGGCTAAACCTTGCTTTCTCATACACCCCAGGATCCAGAGCCACCTGCCCAGGGGTGGCACTGCTCACAGTGGACAGGCCTCCCCCATCAATCATCATTGAAGAAAATGTCCCACAGGCTTGCTTGCCTACAGGTCAATCTGGTAGGGGATTTTCTCAGCTGAGGTTTCCTATTCTCAGATGACTCCAGCTTATGTCAAGTTGACAACTAGCCAACACAGGCAGGCATTCCAAAGCTTTGTGACAATTTATTCTCTCAATCCCCATTGCCTGCTGTGTGTGTGTGTGTGTGTGTGTGTGTGTGTGTGTGTGTGTGTGTGTGCCATGTGTGTTATAAGCTAGAGGCTGACATTGGGTGTCTTCTCTTATCACTCTACACATTATTGAGATAAGGTATCTATCTCACTGAACCATCTGGGCAAGACTAGCTAACCAGTGAGTCCCATGGATCCCGGGGTCTCTGCCTTTGCCGCTTGCTGTTACTCCTTTTATGTGGTACCTGGGGACCAAACTCTGTCCTCATGTTTGTATGGCAAGCATTTTGCCCACTGAGCCACCCACCCCCAGCCCTATGTCTCCATGCCTGACACTCTTTCTTCTTTTATTTTTCAGAGCTGAGGACTGAACCAGGGCCTTGCGCTTGCTAGGCAAGCGCTCTACCACTGAGCTAAATCCCCACCCCCGACATTCTTCCTTCTTAATAGCAGCTCTCAAATGGTCAGTGTATTTCCTACTTTTCAGGGTATTTAATTCACAGGTCAAATCTTGATGAGAAGTTTGCTGGTAAGCAACCCAAGCTTCTTGGAAATTAGTCTCAGCTTCATGTTTATGAGACTCTCCAGGCTTCTTAAAGAAGCAAAGGAGTTAATGAGGGGTTAGGAAGGTTGAGTCAGTTTTCACCACACCCATGCCATCTTGGAACTCCTGACTGTCTGGTACCCAGTAAAGAACAGTGAACGGGTAGGGCCGGAGGGGGACACTTTCTCACATTTCCAGCAGACCCTGCTGGCCCTGCAAAGGATTCTAGGCGCAGCTTCTGCTGCTGCCATTACCAGGCAGGTGAGGACGTTGTGCTTTTAAAAGTATTCATTAAGGGTTGAGAATGTAGTTCAGTGGTACAGAACCTGGAGCCCTGAGTTCAATCCTCAGTGTGTGTGTGTGTGTGTGTGTGTGTGTGTGTGTGTGTGTGCGCGCGCGCGCGCAGGCCTGGAGGTTTTCTAGTCTCGCTCCATTTGCTGTGTACTCTGCTTCCTGTGTTCACATCAAATGGGACCGGCCAGCTTCCTACTCCTTTGGCCTACCACCATGCCTTGCCTCCTCTGGAACTATAAACCAAAGTAAACTATGTCTTCCCTAAGTTGCTCCTGGCATGGCGTTTACCCAGCAAGAGAAAGTAAATTATAGCACACAATTTCTGTCCAATTTGTTTCCCCATCTATTGGGCGCCTTGATGGCAGGCACGTGACAGATCTTGGAGGGAAGAAACAGAGAAATAATAAGTGCCATTGAGAGCTCAAATAATGGAGTGTATACCAGTTACAGACACAGCTTACATATCTCAAAGACCCTAAAGTTTGTAATATCAAATACTGGAATAAATTATGTGAGGTTACTGGTAACATATTTTTTTCCTTTATTTTTTATTTTCTGTGTTTGGGCATTATATATATATATATATATATATGTGCACTATATGTATGCAGCACCCATGGAGGCCAGAAGAGGCTGTCAGATTCCTAGAACTGGAGTTACAGGTGGTTGTGAGCTGTCATGTGGGTGCTGGGAATGGAAATGAGGTCCCTAGAAAGAGCAGTCAGTTCTCTTAACTGCTTAGCACTCCAGCCCTCGGTATTCTAACCTTTCTGTAGAAAGATGTTTGAGACTGAGGTCAGGGGTGACGCTTCCTCTCCATAGTCTGTGTTCACTTGAACAGGTCAGTTACTTAAAATGCAAGGGCTTGTTATACTACACATGCTTTGAATAAAAGCAGTACTGAGTCACTGCCCCGGAATTTTCATCCTTGTTTGAGGCCAACATGAACTTATTACTGTATTTAGAAGGTAAACTTTTCAAGCTTGTACACAGTGAGAAAGGAAGAACCCTGGCATCCCTGAGGCAGGGGGCCATCTTCGTTGGGAATGACATGCCAAGGAGGAGGAACCAGTGCTGCTGCCCAGCCAGGCCAGCCCTGTGTTCCCTGTGGCATCCTACCTTGATGAAAGAGTACAGAGACTTTCCGTAGAGCCTCTTGAAGTTTGCCCGGATGTCCAGCATGTCAATCTCTGCTCGAGAAATCATCACTCTGATGAGGGTGCTGTCGTCAGTGCCTAAGCCCTGGGGAAGGAAGCCAGAGCTTGCATCAGGGGATACTCTTCGTGGTCCAGCAAGGCAAGACAAGGTGGCAGAGACTCCACCACAGCATCCTTGGCTCTATGATCTGGGAGGTCCGAGGAGCATCCTCATGCCTTAATTTGGGATGCAAGGCTTGACACGGGCCACCTTTCCAACACTGTGCATTGACCTGAAGACATGGCTGCGCCTTTCCAAAGACAGGCTCTGTGCTGTTCAGCAGCCCTGTGTCATCTACCATCCCCCACCCCCCACCCTGCCCTGTGGAAAGTTTCCCTCAAGGTTCTGCTTAAACAGAACAAGCTGGTTTTGTTTCCTTTCTTTCTTTC